CACAAACACACACACACACACACACACACACACACACACACACACACACACACACACACACACACACACACACTTACACTGTTATTTACATAGGCGTAAAATACGTTATTCAAACATTCAAATTATACTTCTCCACCCGATGAATCGGAATATGTTTTAAAAATTCAGATAGCAATCTGTGGACTAATGATTCACACGTTTAATTCACTGGACGTCAAGTGCACACACACAGACACACAGACGCACACAAATGCCCATAAACACACACCATCACCATTGCCCTTTCTCCCCCTGGATCAGGATGTAGACCACGAACAAACACTTTCCACCTTTCTTTATCCTTTGCTAGCCTCTTGATACTATCTTATGTTTTCCAACTTTTCCGTACATCCGTTTCTGTGACTCTTCTCCATGTTTCACGTGGTCTTCCTATTGATCCTTTATCCAGTGGATTCCAATCCAAATTTTTATTATAATATTTATAATGCAGCTGCCTCACTTCCGGAAAGTAGGTCCAATCCATTGTCGTCGCCTTCTTCTCACATCACCTCCGACTGGGCTCTGTCTTGATTTCCGTAACACTTCCTCGTTGGTGACCCTGTCTGTCCATCTGATGCTCTGTAACTTCCATAAAGACTTGTTTATGAAAACCTGGGTTCTCTTTATGCAAGTCTGTTATACGTTTTATGTCTCAAATCTGTTCCACAGTACTTCAGTTGAATTGAAAATCCCCAACTTTGTTCCGAATGAGATATCTCTGGTCCTCCAAATCCAATTCAGAGATATGTACGCAGCTTGTGCCTTTCCAATGCGGGACTTTATTTCAGCACCTGGTCCTCCATCCCTGCCAATTTTACTCCCAAGATAGCAGAAGGATGCAACGTCTTCTAGTGCATTTCCTTTTTATTGTGACCTGCACCTTTCGGTGTGCATCTATCTTCAGGGGTTTTGACTTTCCGGGGTTGATCCCCACTCTAACAGACTCTGATAGGCTGTTTAATACTGAAGTCTTTGCTTGCATCTGTTCCTGGGTGTGCGCCAGAAGAGTCAAGTCGTCGGTAATGTCAAGATCGTCCAGCTGTGTCCATGTGGTCCACTGTATGCCGTTTCTTTGTCCTCTGGTGTTTCCTTCATCAGCTAGTCGATTGCCAAGATGAAGAGGAAAGGTGATAGTAAGCATCCCTATCTCACATCGGTCTTGATGTCAGAGCTGTCTGTGAGTTGGCCATTTTGGTACAACCTGCAAATTGTCCCTTCTTACATGCTCTTGATGATGTTCACCAACTTCAGTAGGATTCCGTGCTGTTTCCGTATCTTCCATTGTGTTGCTCGGTCTATACTATCAAAGCCCTTTGTCGTTCAAGGAAACTGACAATCTGCTGAGAATTTCACTCTAGTGAGTGTTTTTTACTATGATCTTCAGAGCAGCAATCTGGTCGGTGGTTGAGCGATTTTTTTCCGAAAATCAGCCTGTTCATTTCGTAGTCTCCGTTGCAGTTTTGATTCTCGTTAGAATGATTCTGTTGAAAACCTTACACAAATAAACTCATTCAAATACTCAAGTAAGTACACTCTCTCACTTCACTCCTCAGTCATTTTGTCTCCTTGTGTCTTTTTTTCTCCCTCTCTTTCTCTCTCTCTCTCTCTCTCTCTCTCTCTCTCTCT